TCTATCTATCTATCTATCTATCTATCTATCTATCTATCTATCTATCTGTCTCCCTGATTATTTGCATAGCAACTGAAATAAATGCAGATTACAAAGGGGGGTCTCCATAATGGTGTCAAGATTATGCAATACACCACATGGCTACCACAGCTCACTGTGAGGACAACAGAGTGTGTGTTGTTAAGTGCGTTGTTTGGAAGAGTGAGAGAGAAAAACACTGACCTTGTTCCTTATTTTCCAGAGGAAATCATAAAACAAATATGTCAAACGATGCCAGCAATCTTTGTTTGCAGTTGCAGTATTTTAATTTAATATTGTGGGCCAAATCACACCTCACTCTACACACATCTGTCCCCAAGCATCAGTTTTGCTTTGTAGAATATCTTTCCTGTCATCCGTTGCTTCATGGCCTCAGATGACACTTAGTGATTGAATGTATCTTCAATCAGCCCGTATTTTAAAATAAAGAGCAGATTCTTCATTGAGGCAGAAGCTCGTATATCAATCAATCAAACTTCCATTTTTAAATGTTTGTTTTTCAGATAAGAAAATAAGATATAGTTGGTTGAGGACAAAAACTGTTTAGCTTCTTGTTATTATTTCTTGTTATTTTTCTTAACAGATTGTTCACAGCAAACTCATTTGATTTAATTGACGAAGATGCATTCCAAGGTTTACCACATCTGGAATATTTGTAAGTGTTTTGATTTTTACTCATGAACGGAATACACTTTAAGATTTGACTGAATTTTTTGTGCACTTGTTTAACTCCCAGCTCTACTAAAACTGAATCCACGTGTGCCATGTTTTAATGATTTTTTAAAAATGTCTTTAAAACACATTTGTCATAGCATACATTTACTGCATACAGTGCTATATAAAACATTCCTCATGATAATATCTCAGAGCCAAAGGGATGATAGATGCAGCTCTTAAGATCACAGCAGGTGAAAGTGTGGGTATGCTGTACAAGATTACTATTTCTGTTATTTCTATTGGCCTGTTTAATTGCTCCATGTCATTCACAGATTCATTGAAAACAACAGAATTGCATCAATATCACCCAATGCTTTCAGAGGCCTGAAGACATTGATACATCTGTGAGTATTTTGTCTTTAAGGGCGTCCTGTTGAAGAAATGGGATTTATCTTTCTGCTATCCTCTACACATTCTTGGTAAAAATACATTTGTCAAAAGCAGTATTTTGGGAGGGAAAGTACAGTGATACTATATATATTTATTTTAAACCAAACTGTGCATCTGTTTCCATTTTCTGTCACTGAATCTCTTTGTCATAGTCTGGAATGCAAAGGTAGGCGGAAGTACTGCTGTCAGATTGCAAGGTGACTGTCTGAAGGTGTCAGCTGGATCGGGTTGCAAATGGGAGAAAGTGGATGGTTCATTCCCTTAGAGTACCAAAAGAAAAGAATGATTCAGTCATTTGGCAATAGTTCTGAAAAAGAATATTTTTGTAAATGTCAATTGATATAAGATTTATATGAATTATGTATGATAAAGCACAATGGATAAACATCTGTTTATCAAAGAACTTTGTCTCAGAAATACCAGAAAATCACAAGGAAAGAAAAATAGACCAATCTATTTTAGATTTTGTTTGAGTGTCATAAACCGCAGAGCTGGTCAAAACTAAAGGTAGCCGGAAATACGAGGGACCTGTAGGTCAAACCTAAATTTAGTCATACTGTAACTATAGACTGGGCGACCCATAAAATGTCCCTGACACGTTGAAAGGTTGACCCTGCATGTGTCCAGTTCATAAAGAGTAGTGCAGTTCAATGCTTTCACCTGAGTGCAATTGTAAGTATGAGCTTTTAACTTCTCTGTTTAGGAAATGCACACTTCGGACAAAGAAACATTGACAGGCTAAATTGATTTTAGTTACAAAAAACTAAAATGTTATGTAAGTAACATATGTAAGGATGTTACTTACATACTTAGAACTTAGAACCATTGGTGTTTCATCTTGAGAATAACTTCCGAGGTTCAAACTGTCCAAGAGTATGTAAAAACCTACAGAAGATTAGAACTTTCTCTAGACTCCGTCAGCCTCCTCAAAAACTGTCTGGGCCAACAGATGCTTCATTCAATCAAAACCTCACATTTTGGAAATCTTGATTAGCTCTTTTTTGTCAAACTGACCAGTTCTGCAAGTTCAGCATCACATCTGGATGCAGAAAAAGTATTGGGTTGCGCCAAGGTGTACAACTTTCACACAACAAAGTAAAAATTGCCAATATGTGTGGTCCTTTTAAATGCATCCCCATGGGTAAATACATTATTAAAGGGCACAGGCAAAGGTCCTGCTGGCAACCTGACTGCTCAAGTCCCATCCGTATTGAAAGCAGATTTTTGCAGAGGCTCAAATAAAACAGCCTCTTTTCCCTGAGCAACCAACACTAAAATGAATAATTCAGTCTTGATCTTTTTCTCTTTTGCCATTTTTGAGCTCAGTTCAGTTCTCAAACAAACCATCTCTGTTGGTGCTGTGTCTGTTGGTCAGTTTGAAATGGATGATGAAAAAGATGTCCTTTATTTGAGAGCACTTTCGATGGTTTAGACCATTTAAGGTGGTTAAGAGAAAAAATGATAAAGCAGGTTTTCAGTGGTTAATGTTACCATCAATGAGGGCAGGAAAAAATATTACTCTTTTAGAAATTTGCTGAGACACTGCTTGGAATCAGTGTAAGAAAAGGGGAAACAGCATTATGTGGACTGTTGTGCCAGTTTCTTTTTGAACAAAACGAACTGGCACATTAACGAGAGCGCTGCAAGAGTAAAATTTGACCAATTGCTGCTTGATAAACAATGTCAGGTTCTCTGAAGTGTGTCACATTTTTTAATTCAATGCTTGTTGATGATTCTCTCCATTTTCTTTCAGACAACGTGATTGTGTTTTTTTAAATCTGTTTATTTATTAATTTTAAAAAGTTATAACTTTTATATGTGGATGCAGGACTGAGTATGATTCCTGGAAGTGTTTGTGAGTGCATCCAGTGGTTTCCACTATAAATAGTGCCTATTTGTACAGGAGGCCTGCCTCACCGGAGCACAGAATGCTTTCTATTCATCCTGGTTTTAGGACTTCTCCCTTTGTAAGGCGATTACTTAAGCTTCTCTGAGTCCTTTGATGATATTTTGTACTGTGACTTCTGAAGCTGTTGAGCTATTTTAATTTTCTGTTGAACTCTTCCATTTTGACCTCTGAAGGACCCTTTAGACCTGTTGCCCTTTAACCTTCTGAGATATATGATGTTCCCACATGAACGTTTTTGCTAGCATTAAACTGAATTTTTCCTTTTTTTTCCTCAGAAAAATGTATCTTCTTATTTCATTCATATAATTTCAAACCCATTTGATTTTATATCTTAGGTACTCCGATAATAAATTGTGTGTATGCTTTAAAGTCTGGAGCCCTACAGATTTAGTCTATCTTTTGTCTTTTCAAAACCATACAAGCAACCACTGAGAGGTGCAACATATATCTAAATAGAACTGACTACTTCCTGCAGAGATACGGTCAGCTCCTAATTCAATCACTATGTGTATTTTGTTCCTCTTTGCTGATTAGGAGTCTGGCTTACAACAACCTTGAGACACTGCCCAAAGATGTTTTCAAGGGCATGGATGCTTTGACCAAAGTGTGAGTGTGTGTTTTAAATCATATTGCCAACACTTGATCGAGAAAGCAGGTATGTACTGGGTGTTTGTAGATTTTCATTTCAGCATCATCTGTCTCAGAAAACAGCATATTTAGCTTTTGAGTTTAGTTTAGATTGAGATGAGTTAGTGTGAATGAAAAGTTAAAGCAGCTATATCAACTTTAATAGAGCATAAAGAGGCAGTGGTTTTAATTTATATTTGCGTCCGAATATCAACATTGTGGAATAAAATAACACGAAGTAGAATAGAGAGAGTTTGTGGGTTGAAATGGTGGAGACAAATCTTTCTCGAACTTTCACCCTTTTCTTCTGATGTCACAGTACTAAAACGTAAAGGAGAAAAAAAGATTTTTTAAAGAGGCCCTTCTGTGCTGCAATAAAAAACATAAAAAGAGGATTGAAAGAAGAAGAAAAAGGGGAAAGCGTGGGTTAGGATGCCAGAATGTCTGGGTGAATGGTAAACAAGTCGATCAGAGGAAAAAGAGCTCCTTCCTTTTGTCGCACTGACACAGCCCACTGGACCAATGCCAGTGTTTGTGGATGCAGTAGTCTTATCCAAGGTTAATAACTATTCAGACAGAAAGTGGGTGATGAGCAGGAAGTACTCAAGAGATGGGACGCTTGTTGTGGCTTTGTTGGCTTGCCGCCAAAGTCTAAACAATTACACAAGAGGCACAGAGTGTAGCAGCCTGAACAGAAACTGAACAGTGACAGGACATAAACTTAAAAAATAAGAGCTGTTTAAAAGGTAAAAATCATTTATAGTATGCCTTAAGGGTTTTCTGGTTATTTATGGAATTTTAAAAAATGATTTATGCATCCAGGGATCTGCGAGGGAACAATCTGATTTGTGACTGCAAGCTGAAGTGGCTGGTGGAGTGGATGCATCACACCAATGCCACCCTGGACCAGATCCACTGCAGCGGCCCACCCATTCAGCAGGGGAGGAAGATTAATGACCTAATGCCGGATCACTTTGACTGCCTCACCGCAGGTTCTGCTACTGTTGTACAAACCATACTGTAAAACACTTTTCTCTCAAATCTTACTATTGGCCTTATCAGCCGTTTCAGTGCTGACATGACAGATGTTGTTAAAGAATAGGAATACTCTTCCTGTGTGTTTCTGCAAGAATCTGTGAGGATGAATCACATTTTGTAGATAAAGGACAAAGTTTACTGTTGTGTCATCCTTTTGTAGAGTTTGCTTCCTATCAACTGCTGAAGTTTGAGTCGATTTCTGTGGAGGCGTTCACCTTTGATACGGAGCAGTATGTGGTGTTTGCCCAGCCCTTTGCCGGGACATGTAGCTTCCTGGAATGGGATCATGTTGAGATGACCTTCAGAACTTATGACACCATTGAAAGTGAGTTTAAAAAAACAAGCCAGGAGCACAAAGCACACTGGATATGTTTTCACCTCAAAGGACAATGTTTAATCATGGCTAAATCAATAATGAGAGCATCAACAGTTAAGATACAAACCTATTTTATTTTGTAAGCATGTTTAAAAGTGAATTTAATTTAATGTATTTTACTTTGATTTTTCACCAAGCTCTTCACAAATTACTTTTGAAGAGTCAAGTACCAAATCTGTAAGTAAGTCCATCGAAAAGCTAATAAAGAAAGATGGGACATGTAAATAGGAAACCATATGATGAAACATTGTTATTTTCTGATGGTTTTAGCTAATAACCTAACCAACTTGAATGGAGTTGCTCAAGTTTTCTCAAGTTTAGAAAGAGCATCTTTTTTAAAAACATTTTTAAAGGATTGTTCCACCCTTAAACTGTCTGAGTGACACAAAGAAAATGCCAAAACTAGCAATCTATTAATACAAGGATCCTGTGACCAGTGCCAGAATGTCTCATGTGTTTCTTCTCTTGTGCTGTTTAGGCACCTCCACTGTTGTCTGCAAGCCCATGGTGATTGACAACCACCTCTTTGTCATCGTGGCCCAGTTGTTTGGAGGCTCACATATATATAAACGTGACTCCTCTGCCAGCAAGTTTATCAAGATCCAGGACATTGATATACTGAAGATTCGCAAGCCCAATGACATTGAGACATTTCTGATAGACGGAGAGTCTTTTTTCGTCATCGCTGACAGCTCAAAGGTTTTTCCCTCACTTTGCTCTTTCCATTATTCAGAAGTATTACAGTTGTACACAGGTGTAATCTCTTTTACAAATTAGGGTACCGTACCTACCAGTACTTTCCCCAGTGTTCTTCTGTGTACCATATCGGCTTATTTCTGCTCCTGCTAATTTCTCCTTCCTTGCCAAATGTGTGCATATGCTGTCATGTATGCTTGGGGACATTGGGGAAAATTCAGGAACACACACACACATTTTGTGTCTTGTGGCAAATTTACAATTTGCTGATGTACTTTTTTTACTTTCGTTCTTGAACAATCATATTTGAATATCTCTGAAGGACACTGAAAATATGCTTGTCACATTAAGGATATGTTTTTAAATAAAGTTGGAATGCGCAACCATTTTTTGTTCATGTGTGTCTTGCAGGCTGGCTCTACAACTGTGTACAAATGGAACGGCAATGGCTTCTATTCCCACCAATCCCTCCATCCATGGTACAGGGACACAGATGTAGAATATCTGGAAATCTCCAACAAACCCCACCTGATTTTGTCCAGCAGCTCCCAGAGACCTGTTGTGTACCAGTGGAACAGAAGCCAGAAGCAGTTTGACCGCAGGACTGATATACCAGACATGGAGGACGTCTTCTCTGTCAAACACTTCCGGGTAAAAGGTGAGAGCTGCATATTCAGCTATTGCAATTACAAAGACTCTCTGCACTGTGTATGATGTGCTCATAGGGATGTTGTTTCTATAAATACTATTTCAGTGCTCAGATTCATACAGACTGAGGTGATTCTTATACTTCATGAGTCATACTCATAATTTATTATCTCGTTGTTTCTCATTACCTGGAACATTAAATGGTTTGTTTTCAAGATGGTTTTACATCATCACCATAAAAGGCATTTTGCTGAATTGCTATCAACAAGCAATAAATTAATTGGCACAATACAACCTCTAAAAAAGTTGTGAAGCTGTGTGAAATACAAGCTTAAATAATGCAATTATTCACAAAGCTCACATGCCTATATTTTATTTACCATACACACAGAGACAAGAAACTGAGACATTTGAGATCTTTATGTTAATCGCACGACACGTCTAAAAAATTTGATAACTAGGGTAACAAAAAATTGGAAGACTAAGAAGTAAGAAGTCCTAGTAAAAAGACAGGCCTAAAAGAACATGTAATGTTCTTTAGATGAACTGGCAGCAGTAGAAATAAATGATAAGGTATAAAAGTCTCTCTGAAGTAAAGTTGGGCAGAGATTCTGCAAAAAAACTGGCAATTTCATAATGATGATCCTCAACTTAGAATTATAAAGATGTTTAGATAGTCATAATATGCAGAGAATTTGAAGACATTTCTGAGAGCAGAGGACAGGGCCAAATATAAATGACAGGTCATCCCAATATGGTGTTTGAAACAGGGCAGAAATAATTTTTGACAACATATCTAAAATGCAGGTTAAATATTATTCATGCAAAAATAAGCCATTAGTACATGTTTAAGAAAAGTTATAAACATCTGTGGCCTCATCTTCAATATTGAACAAGTTATAGATTTTAAATCGTGAGATTTTTATGTTAATTTTACACCGCATACAAACCTTTTTGGCAATGTTTTTCAACTCAAGATCCCTTTTTAGTTGCTGAAAGTCCCAACTAAAGGTTTCCCTTGAATGCTTTTCAAAGGTGACCTGTTCATATGCTTGACAAGATTCATCGGGGACTCCAGGGTGATGCGCTGGGATGGTGCCATGTTCACGGAGGTCCAGGCATTTCCCTCCCGTGGTTCCATGGTGTTCCAGCCTGTCTCTGTCGGCAACTGGCAGTATGCCATCTTGGGCAGCGATTATTCACTGACACAGGTTTATCAATGGGACACTAAGAGGGGCCAGTTTATCCCATCCCAAGAGCTGAGTATCCAGGCGCCTCGGGGGTTCTCCGTGGTCTCTGTTGACAACAGAGTCTTCCTGCTTGCATCCAGTTTCAAGGGAAAAACTCAGATATATGAGCACCTCATGATCGATTTAAGTAACTAAACACTGTTTGTGTTTGTAAAAGAAAAATAGGCTTATAATTTGTTTTTGTTAAATTTGTTGTTTTAAATCCAGCAAACTGACTCTACCGTAACTCAAACAAAATGAAGGGTCGACTAAAACGAAAAAACAACAACATATTTTAAGAATACAAGGACATAAATTCAAATAAGGACTTATTTAGTTACAGCCACAAATTAAATGAAGTGGTCTGAATGATGGTGCATTTTCCATTTTCCATATATATATATATATATATATATATATATATACATATGGCAGCTTTTCAAAACAAAAGTCTTTACATTAATGCTATAAATAATAGCAATAATGTAAAGACATTATTGATATTAGAATAATGTCTTTACATTTATTTACCAGGATGTATTTAGTCCTTATCCTGGATGAAGACCCTAGGACATTACTGTGATCTACCATTAAACCCACATTTGCTTCTGTTATGAGACTTTATCCATGTTTATGAGTCTGGTAATCAGCTTCAGAAACTAGTTATGGAGTTGAATAACTCATAGTTGTATACATTCTCTCATAAAAGACATTGTTAGGAAAAGTCATGAAATTTGATAATGCTAAAAAGAAACATACCGTTTTTCTTTATCATTTTTTAAATATTTGATTCATTAAAGAATTCAGAAGCATTTTCTCAAAGGTAATACCTACTGTAAGGTATTCACATGATAAAAAAAAAAGTCAAAGTAAAGTGTTGTACTTGCGCGCACAGTTTGACTGTCAGTTTTGTGTTCTACTCAGACAAAACGCAATAACTCATATTCAATTATTGGCAACTTGTCAAACCAAATACCTTTGCTCTGATTAGTTCACTCTTTCTATTGGTTTCACACTTACGGAAGTGTGATTTAAAATAAATAAATAAATAAAAAAACAGCACTGTGAGTAACTGAGAAAAATAACGATGCTGACAGTGTGCATGATAGAGACACTCATGGTGTTAGTTTCTAGTGAATGACGCACTAGAAGCATCCCGCTGTGTCACTCAGACCCCTCGCTTTCACTGCACCCTTACCCCTTTTCTCCCTCACTGACAAAACCATTGTTGTCTTTACCCCACAACTCAAAGCCACCCACTGTGCGGCATATGCTACCTGTGCTTCGCTCCCCTTATCGTGACACAAAAGAAGCTCAATCTTGACAACAACATCCCTGACAACGATTTGCCAAATACAGTCTTTATCTGTTTACAGTGCTGTGTAATTTATATTTCTTGTTTATGTAGCAGGTGTCCAGATTCAGTGTTATTTTTATAGTCTGTGGAATGTAGACAACATAGTGTGAGAAACATTACTTTCTTTACATGCAACTTCTACGTGAATTTATAGATTTACTTTTGTTAGTCTAATTTAGTTAGTTAAGAATAAAGGATTTTAGGTCTGTCATCATTCTCATTATCTTCTATGTAAATTAATAATAAAAAAACAAACATTCTGAGGCAGACGTGTTGTTTAAATTGTTGTGTTTTTGGATTCCCTTCCTTTTGATTAAATGAGTCCTTGTCAGTTAATGTGTGCCCACTTTCCCCCCAAGCTATCATTACTTTTCTGCTTCAGTGGATCATGAAATCTAGTCCACTGTAACACAACCATGGCCATTATAAAATCATACTTTATTGTGATATATTTGACCACAAATGCTGCCCCATGTTATTTAGAAGAAAACCGGAGAATTTTCTGTGTATCTCCTTATATGTTTTAACACCTGATCGGAAAAATGCTGTAAAGAAAGATTTGTCAATCTTGTACAGGTCAGGTCAGTTTTGTGTTACATCGACCATCATATGTGGAAAACAGTAATAAAAAGATATGCAAATATATTAGAATTCTGGCCAATAATGTGAGAAAAAAAGTTCAACTGATTGATGGTGGCTATGGGTCATACGTTTGGAACATGTTAAACATGGTTGGGGTGATGAGTAAGGCCTGTATTGAGGTTAAAACCACGTCAGTGCTTGTTGAAATGACGGAGCTCATACAAATGTACTCCAAAAAAGAAAAAAAACCTTTGTGAGGTCAAATGTGTTAAAGCTGACTTTTTGTCTGTTCAAAATTGCCATGACAGCCGTGGGAAGGGGGCGTGAACGTTAAGCAAAGCTTTAGTTTTTCCAGCAGAGCCGGTGTGAGTTCACTCCTGCCCCCCCGTGGATGCAGCAGCCACCGCATGGCTTCGGATTGTGACACCAAGGTTAGTGATTAACCTTGTCTTGTCGGTCTCTCAGGGCAGCGGAGACTACGGGCAGAATTCGCACTGAGGCATGCTGCCGCTCGGTCGCCACATCTTACCATGGGCGACCGCGACCACTGTCCTCACGAGCGGGTTTTAACCCTAGAGGACGACGACACGGTGGCGTTTCATAAAGTTGTTGTCAGCCATGACAACCTAAGCCGCTCCGCACAAGACTGCGAGCGTGACGGCGACGAACGGACGGAGGAGAGGATTCATTTGCGAAGTGGCTGTCCGGATGACGATGCTGAAAGAGAGAGGCGAGGGAGAAGCGACCATTCGCAGGAAGACGGTGAGAGGCGAACGCTGTGTCCACCGGCGTTTTGCCTCGGAGGCAAGCCAGCATCTTCCCTCGAGGGACGCGCACGTGAAGGTAGAGGAGGGCACGCGCTCAGTTTTATCACTTCTTTTTTAACCGAGCTCCACCACGTACAACAGTCACAAATAAACTTTAAGGGGGGGTGGGGGGGAATGAAATAAACGGCGAGTCACTGACTTCCTGCCGAGCTTCACGTTATACAACCGTGCTACGTCATGTATCAGCGATAACTTAGATACCACGTGTGTGGCATGGGCCTATAAACTGTTTACTCTAAACACACACACGCTTTTACAAAGTTTACGTAGTATATTAAAGTCTAATTTAATGTACCATTCATATCCGTTTACGGTCTTTTCGAGTGAGAAAAAAAACGTTGTTTTTATAGACCAGTTTTTATTTTATTACTGTAATGGTGGCCTAATAATCATTTCCCCCAGACATTGATATGGTGTGAGCTGCTGGTTTAGCCAGTGTGTGGCTGCCCTGTTTAATAGGCTACTGTAGGCCATAGTAAATGTTTTCATCCTTAAAGAGGATGGATGACAGTGCACTTTCACAGTCATGGGAACACCTGAGCTTTTGTTTCTCTTAAGTATCTCTGCCCAGGCTTTTGCGGAAAGGATTTATTTCCTTCATTGCTGAGCTAATTTTCATGTAGTCAAGCTTGACTCACTAAAAAAAAACAGGTTCCTTTCACTGATAAAGACATGACACTAAAAGAGTTTTCCCATTGTGTACCTTGTGTGGAGTTCCATTCCTAGTATGCTGGCAAGGAAGTGAAAAAATATTCTAGGCTTGTTTTGATTAGTTTTCTGTCTTTGTGTAAACTATGGCAATGCGAGACAGACATACACTGAATTTGAAATTATAAGTCCAGGGAAAATTAAATTCCTATTGTTACTAACAACACAATTAAATCTGAATATATTTAGGAAAAAAACAATACTCTTAATTCTCAGCTTTTGAATATTTTTCTGAGGCACAGTTTTAGGAAGCAAATGCATATATTTATATATGTTTATTCTACATACATACATGTGGTGTGAGAACAAGACATATTTCTGCAAAGCCTCAGGTTGAAATATAATCTCTGCAAGGCTATCATTTTTGTTTATCCACAGGCAGGGTGTACAAACACTTCACTACAGTCCTTGGCAGATCTTTTGTTTGTGGTTTTTGCAACTGAATTCTTACCCAGGCTGCACCCTGTTCAATCATGCATATAAAACAGTGAGTGTGTTATCAGCCCTTATATTTGAATGTCTCATTCTTTTCTCCTTTTCTCCCTCATGCTGCCAGAGAAACCTAAGAAATGTCCTGGGCTGGGTTTGTTCTTTGCATTCCTGGCCACCGTCTTCTTCTCCATCATTGCCCTCCTGGTGAAAAGCATCCAGGGAGTTCACGCCATAGAGATCAGTGCCTTTCGCTGCTTCTTCCAGATGATTTTTACTATGCCGTTACTCATCTATCACAAGTAAGCACAACCCTCTGAGTGGGTTATAAGCACAAACCCTCTGGGGTAGAACTTAACCCTAACAGTTATTTTCTCTGGGGATTCATGTTATTGTGTTCATTTTCAGCCATTTAAAAGGCTGATATTCCAGTTTCCCTGCTCAGACATTAAGCTGTCAAATAATTGAAAGGGATATGCAGTAGTCCACTCACCCAGTTGGAAAAATTGTATACTTCTTGGGTTGGAATGGCTCAGAATTATACCTTCTGGCATGAATTTACAGATTGTGATTTCAAAATACCTGCAGCTGCTTTTTTTCATATGGCACCAAACATTACATTACAAATGTTTAATATACGTTTAGCTCCTGGCACTTAAAAATGTTACCTTTCATTTCTTCATTCCACCATTGTGGTTTGATATGATTAGTATTTGTAAGAACATATTTAAAGGATATTCAAACATAAATTTAAGTTCAGCTGTAATTTCAAAGACTACCGCCAGTGCTCCTATTCATCCATCCACCTTTTCATCCATCCACCTTTTCATGCTGTATGTTGGGTTTTGCCTTAATTCATCATTTACAAATCTTCTTCTCTTCCCTTCTTTCATTTCCATTCATGCAGCCATTCATCACTGTCGTTCCTATTTTACCCATTCTATTGTATTCTATATCTACCCATTTCTTCTGCCATTCCACTTACCATTCCTAAGCCTCTTACTTCCTGTCAGTCCACTCATCCATCTTTTTAGTCATCTGTTCATCCATCATCTTCATTTATGTACTCCTCCAGGACAGGCTTCCTTGGTCCCAAAGATAAACGTATTTATCTGGTGCTTCGAGGTTTTCTCGGCTCCAATGCAATGATCCTGCTCTACTATGCAGTTCAGCAGATGCCGCTGGCAGATGCCACAGTCATCATGTTCAGGTGAGAGTTGCTAAGAGCAACAACTCATGAATTGCACTTAACCAGCCTAAAGATCTGCACAGTCCTGATGCTATAACTGCTTATTGTAAGTTGTTCTTTAAAATGTTATTTCTCTTCTGTCCCTGCATGTTGCTTTGGCTAAATATTTTGGATTAGATTTTAGAAACGTCAGAAATACAGGTGTTCTTTTCAGACTGTGGGGATGTCTGAACTCCTTTAGTTTTAGTCCTTTAATGGTAAATTGTCATTGGGAATAGACTGAAATCGAGTTTAATCATAGACAAACCTCTCTCGTTCATGTTTCTCTGCACATTTTACCTTTTGTAAAGACTCACCTATTGCCATTATTGTCCCTGGTGCTTTAATCCCCATCCCTCCATTTCTTTTTCAATTGACCCCACAGTAATCCAGTCTTCACTTCCCTCTTGGCTTGGATCTTCTTGAAAGAGAAATGTACCATTTGGGACTGTGTTTTCACTGTTTTCACCCTAACTGGAGTCATCCTCATTGCTCGCCCACCATTCCTTTTTGGCGAGAATATCCATGGCATTGAAGGCAACTACACTAACCATGTCAAGGGGACAATTGCAGCCTTTGCAGGTGACCCAGTTGATTCTTTTTTATTTGTACAAATGATGCAAAACTGCTTTGATTTGGAGGCTTCTCTTCATACATAGTGTCAGTATTACCAACACGACTGGGGGGCTGGAGTGCACCTTAATGTGCCCTCCCAGCACATCGAACTGGAAGATCCACACTTTTTAATTAAATGTGGTTGCTCACTCAGAGGGGCTCCATCCTGTTGTGGTGCTGAAATCTGTCAAAAAGTAAATGGAAAAGAAAAATTTGAAGCCTGAATTTTCAACTGAGTGCAAAATGCACCGTACATCTGAGTTTGTCTGCTGCCCTTTAATAAAAAATCCTACTTTAAAACCAAAAGTGCAGGGGAAACCCGTGCAGATAAAAAGCATTTATGTTCAGTGATGTGTGAGTTTATGCTCACCTAAGCAGCCTTAGTGGCCACAGTTGTGTATTTTACTCCATTTTGTCTGTCTTCTCAAGATTCACAGATATAATATTCTGGCAGTGAGGGCACAGTTATTTTGGAAAAGAATGCAGTAAATTTTGAAGCAAGTATAACATTTTATAAAAAAAAAAGCATGGTATATGTGTGTATGTGCCAATCAAAAGTTACAGGTTTGAAGAAAGCTTGAATGTAACATTTGTATCTTAAATTCTATCCGATATTGTATTGATACATTTGTGTAAATGTTTTACTTATATTTTCATTCTCTGTCTTATGCATTGATTTCTTTATAGGTGCAATTGCAGCTGCCTTTACTTTTGTTGTTCTTCGCAAGATGGGGAAGAGTGTCCATTACTACCTCTCTGTGTGGTACTATGCTGTCATTGGTCTCATCGAGTGCATCATCACTGTATCCATCCTCGGCGAGTGGAAGATCCCGTTCTGTGGCCGCGACCGCTGGATACTGATGTTGATCGCTGTTCTTGGTATCGCTGGCCAGACCTTCCTCACAAAGGCACTGCAGATTGAAAAGGCTGGACCCGTGGCGCTGATGAGGACAGTAGATGTGGTGCTGGCCTTTTTCTTCCAGTTTGTTTTCTTTAACCGAGCTCCGACTTGGTGGAGCCTCGGAGGAGCGTTGTGCGTGGTGCTGAGCACCAGTGGAATCGCTGTTCGGAAGTGGTATACCAACTCTCGGAAGAGCTGATAGGAGAAGTCCCTCAATTATATCAAGATCCCAGTTCACTCTTTATTTCATAAATTATTTTAATTCAAAGCAGTTTTGGGGCTCATGTCATGTCAGCCACGAGTTTTTGATAGCTTGATATTCAGAACGGACTTTGATACCTGTTGATTTTCAAGAGTCAACTGGTGTTACTTCCCCAATGTATTTTTAATTTTAGTACATAAGGCAATAAAAGTATGTTGCCTCCAAGAAAATATAGCTCCATGGAGATAAAAGGTAGTCAATCTTGAAAGGAATGAAAGAATATTATAAATAGACACAGTTACGTTACCATTTTACGTTTGTTTAAATAGGATTTAAAAGCCAATAAAGGCAGAAAACATTGATTATTTTATTTAAAAGATGAAGAATACTGGCATATTTATTCATTTAGATTCGCACATGGCGCTATTAAATCTATAACTCAGTTAAACACTACAGATAGTTCGGTCATCTCAGATGATAAAACCTAATAAAATCCCTGCACTGGCTAAGAGTTTTTATTCGAAAGCAGGGTTGCTATGTATGACTCTCTCAGGGATTTCTCCCGTTTTATATTGAGCACAGTACAGTAACATCCAGTGATCATATCCCTGATATTGTTACTCCTTTTCCCATTTCTGTACAGCTCATTTGAAGTGCCTGACACACAGAGGTTTTACCTCCAGTTCACATTGAAATAGCTCCCTAATAACCAGCAGCTTGTAACGTGGAGCTCTCAGATAATTACTAAGGCTTGTGAACAAGAATATGAGTTGATTTACCAAAGATCCTATTCCTGCAAAGGTCATACTGACTTTTTTTTATAATTACCACCAGAGTCAACTCTCATGTTTGCTCTCATTAAAGAAGTTGTAATCAGTTAAGCTGTTCCACAAGGTTCCAAAGTTTCTAATAACATTGCTCTTTGTACAGTGAAGAACAGTGGAGCTCAGTACAAAAACATGAATGACATGCTCCCAGATTTCCATGGCAGACACACTCTCACACAACTAAACCTCCATACGTCAATTGTCCCATAACAACATGAGTTCATCTCTTTCATTACACTTATCTGCCCCTTTGGTTCTTTGTTTCAGAAAAGTAATTATTTTGATCATTTAAGTTTTGTCCTAAACCACTGGACTTCAGTTGATAAGACTTGAAAATAACTTGGAAGTACAAAATAATTGTGTAAAACGAATGACTGTCTCTTAGCCAGCAGCCATTCAGAGTGACATTCTTTAAATACAAGACTACTGGTTACATTTGGCATTCTGGTAGTGCCTAACTGTTAGTACTGTATGTGAACTATCTATTGTTACTATTATATCTACACAACAGTGTTGTGTGCAGTCGTATATCTTCTGTGAAATAGGTGCACAGCATCGGCAGGTTACACTGTGAACGCTCCTGGCGGGCAGTCAGACAGCACATCTGGATTGAGGAGATGCTCGCTCTCAGTTACCCTGATAACACCATCTGTTTCTAACAAGCCCACTTCTTTTTTTCCCCTCTCTGTTTTTAGTCTTTGTCTGTCGGTGTACTCTGAAAGTCAAGGACAGAGGTGTTTATTGTGACTGCACACATTTTGGTACTGCTGATGCGTCCTCTTCATCATTCCGTGTGCCAGTGGTATCCCCTTTTCCATAAAGAGCAAGGCAAGAAATGGTTTAGCCTCTTCCCCTTGTTTCCTAGACATCTCGTGTCTATAAAAGATTTATATTTTATGCAAATAGCCTCAGCTGCAAAGAAAAGTGTTGGCAAGCTGCCAGTATACGTTAGCTGATAAAAAGCTGCACATGAGGATAGCTTCAAGCTATGTGCAATGAAAAAATCGGAATGAATTTAAAAGCCTAAAGAGTGATGAGAGTGAAGAGCGAGGTGTGAGCTGCTCAGCAGAGTCCTGCTCACCTCAGAGTCCACATCATTCTGCTTAACTCAAACAAAGTTGCACTTTATTGCGACACTTTAATTAGGTCTTAATTGTAGCTTTAAGGCTAATGCTGAAACATGTGCTGTCTATAAGTTGTGTATTATCTTTAGTGCTATCTTTAGTTAGATATGTTCATATTGGTAAGAGATAATTTATTTTAAAGAACATGGGTTTTCCTTCAGTGTGTGTTCTACAATTTAAATTGTACTTTTATGTCAGCATCACAGCGCAACTGCAGCCATGCATTTAAAAACAGATGGCACTTCTTATCCTAAAGTTTTTTCCTTGCAATTTTTCATACACTCCTGTCTCTGTTCTTGTTAAATCTGTCGAGAACTGTGTTGATACAGCTGCAACAACTGTTTTATTAGTCATTTTATACAGTGAATGGTTCATCCCAATTAATGGTCTATCACAAGAAAATGAGCCTAGTTTGCATTTTACTGCTGTTATAAAATGGGACTGATGTTGTTTCACTTGTGATTCTTTTTATTTAAATCTCTTTGAATTTAAACTTGAATATCTCAGTCATACAAAATATTGCTCAGTTTCATACACAATCCTTTCTATGCTGTTAAAAAAGGCATTACACCGAGTGTTTATCTGATTTGATCTAATTGTAAATTGCAGTGGATTGAAATTTATGTGATGCTGGTCTTAGATCCATTTATTCAGAAAAATCAAACGTTATTTCACTGCAAGATGGACAAAAAGCACTTAGAGCTATTTTTAAAAGCAATGCACAGCTTGAACATTGAAAATACAGTAAAATAACTGTGCTGCTAATGATATTAATAGATCTGGCCATGAGTCGAGCACAGTTATAACTTATATTTGATATTTTAGTTGTTTCTACATTTACTAATCTTTTTCATAAACAATTTATTTAGTTTACTTGAAGGGTAGTAGTCTACTCCTGGTAGCTTAAACAGTCTCAGGACCTGTAAAACCCAAAGTACTTTTTAGGGTTTTGTTCTCTGAGCTTTAATACATTTAAATTACCTATTTCTGTTTGTATATCAACTGAGTATTTCTGATACATGTATTTATGCATTTTTATATATATATACACACACACAAACTTGATCATTTATTAATAAATTATATATGAATTTAAATGTCTTACTGTGGTCTTCATCTAAAATCCTTGTGCACAAGTGTTAATGGAAAAAAAATCTTTTAAAGTCATTTGATTTTATGTGGACCATTTAGCCATTAAATACGAGCTGAGCTTGTAGAGTAGACCTAAAAGTATGTTTTTACCTAAATGGTAAACATTTGTATCTGATGAAAATATTTTGATGGCCTTTATTTCTGAAGAAATTCCCAACTCTTAGGACTGAGGAGTGACAATGCCTCAACAGGTCAGCTAAGGGCCATCTTTCACATTTGTAATGAATCTTTTCTGGCAGCAGAGGGCAGGATCAGCATCAATTGGACCTTATCTGATCATTTCCTTGATGCATGGTGTCATAGTTTTAAAAAATGATGTCACTAAATTGTTTGCTAACTTTCTATAGAAGTTCACCCTTGGGTCAACATCATAGGTGAGTTTTGGGATCATTTTGTGGCAACAGCTTAAAAAATTAAACCCGTTCCGGCACACAGTTGATATCTGTACCAAGTTTGTTAAACATCAGTAACTCTGTGGCTCTGTCAAGCTTTACAGTCCAAGTAAAAACTGAGAAAAAGGCTTGTGTCATCTGGTTCTCTCACCATGCACATTGGCATGGTCCTCAGACTTACTTTGCAGGATTTGACAGAAAAAAAGTTTTTTAAATATATCAGAAACACTTTAAAAAAGCTAACACTACAAGTCATAAAAAATTGTCCAGCTCATTTTGCAGTTTAATCAATACCATAGTCTGACAAAAATCAGCGTTATCGCTATGAAATAAGTATTTTACAATGGCCGCCAACATCCTCTTATCCATTCACCTGCACATATGCGGCCTGTAGTTATCAGATAATCCTCTTTCTCCCAGTAGGTGTGTGCACTCAGGCTGAACATGAGCTATCTATTCTTATCAATTTGTATGTTATCTTATATCAATTTTCTGACAGGATAGTATATATCCACCTGGAGTTGAGGGCTGCTTCCCCTTTTCAATCTGTTTACTTACTTGAATGTTGCACACCTTGAGTTCCTCTTACTCATCCTATTACATTTTATTACTCACATCTATGGACAAAGCCACCATGATGGCAGCATAGCCATTTGGGGAGGCAAGTATGTGGTGAAATCCCACACTATGTTTAAGAATGACCCTTTAAGACAGTGACATGTAGAAATCCTGGATGAAAAAGCCCCCAGCCCACCCTTTCTGTGATTAGTGAGGAGGGGATTCCCAAAGGTTTGCATGCTCCTGGGTGGAGGAGAGTTAGAGGGATGGAAGGGTTGCACATTCTTGTCGGATGGCATAAGACTTCCCATCACTGGAAAGAGAGTGAATTGGAAACTAATCCCTCATTTTCCATGTTGAAATAAAGGCAGTTATAGCCGTCGAGTTGTGCAGGGTATTTCTCTAAAGAGTGTTCAACACACCGTAATCAGAGATAAAAGGAGTTATGCAAAGATACCAGTGAAAAAGCTTTGCCTAATGTTGTTGTGCGTGGCAAAATCGCTTTGTCGGTTGTAGACAAAACGTGCTTGACCAGTGAGCTGGGACATACACACACGAAAGCAATCATACATTAAAACTCTTTATACTCCTTAAAAAAATTATATATGTATTGAAACATCGCTTTAAGCTAAAGGCAACAAAGTGCAGTATATAAAGGGAACTAATGGCAACAGTGAGAGTGGTTGCCAGACATTCCAATGCGGTGACACACGCACACGCAGAGTGCGAACCACCGCAGAGCCGCAGTTATTGTCCTGCTGTCCGCGGCTCGTTTGGCTACCCAAAGGAAATTTGAGGATGCCTTCGAGTGCTGCTGGAAACATTGGAATCATCCCCAAAAAGCTGCACGAAACGGTCATGTCATAGTTTCTGTGTACAGACTACTTTCCACTGAAGCTCACACATACTTTACACAAATCCTAATTAAAATTGGCCTTTGTAGAAACTAATCCTGAGATTTTAAGAGTAGTTTAAGAGCACTTGTTAATTCAGGAATATGCAATGTTTGGGCCACATGTCTCAATGATAAAACAGGCTTATACTGTTACATTTTTCCTGCTGATTCAATTCCTAAAAAGTTACAATATCATTGTTATGACAACAAAAATGTGGCTTTAGAGTATCATTAATGTGTTCTCCTCTCTTTAAATCAGAGCCTATTTTACAATCCAGGAGTCAAGCCTGGGTTCTGGATAACAAATGAATGCTTTGTTAGTGAGATTAAACTATACACTTTCAAGGTAGATAATAAGTAATTGTTTTATGAGGACATCAGTTATCAAAACACTCAGTCTCTAGTTGTGATCATGATTCATGAACTATCTTGCCACCAGTAAATCTTACAGATTTAGAAGAACTGGTCTATACTTTTTTATAAACCATACATTTATACATTTACCGATTCGAGACTTGAGGCATGCATTACAAGTATATAAGTTATTTTAGTTATTGGTTGGCACTAAAATATATAATTTGCCCTGCCCGCAGAGTTAGAGCTATACATGGAGAAGTTACCTTTATTTTTATAATTTAGGGCTGACTAATTAATACAGTTTGTTTTTATAATTGATTTAAAGTTTCCCTATAGATTAACTAAGCTACTTATAGGAGGCTTATTTTTTAGGTTTTAATGTAACTATTTTAAGGAAAAAAAATATTCACTTTCATATCCCTGGCAGGTAAGAGGTTATAGTAAAACAGCAATTAGGAGAGCTTGGGATAGCCCAGTATTCCGAGGAGCACGTGAAGGCAACGCAGAGGAGAGAAGGGCTTCCCACAGCAGCACGAGCTGCCGCGTAAACTGTCCCCGCCTGCGTCGCCAAGCGAGTCCGACCCACCAAAACTTAGCACAACGTGCGTGAAAGTCGGAGCTCTGCGGCGGTCTGGCTGGTGCAAAGCAGACTCGACAACACCGGTCGGTAAGTTCGTAGCACGGTATCCTCAAACCCCCCCCCCCCCCCCGGAGTAGTTTTGAAAAACTTTTCACGGGTTATTGCAGGAGAATTTCATGTGAGCAGCCGTTGATGTTTAAACTCACCTCAGACCAGCGAAATGCTGAAGTGGCTACACTCGCCGGGATTCGCCTTCTTTATTCATCTTTTTACAAGTCAGTGAGGGAAATATACGTTTTTATCTGGTCTACGTTGAAGCTGCGTCTGAGGATGGGCTTTGGTCAGTTTGTGAAGGTTTTCGAAGTTGGTCGCGCGACAGGTGAAACACACGTTTAGTGGGTGAAATCTTCTTTTTGGCGATTATACTTCTGTCATCATTTTTTTGTGTTTGTTTTGCTCTGCTTCTACTACTGTTTCTACCCGCATGACAGGTGCACGCATGTGTGCATGAGCTGGAACGCTTTGCTCTGACAGCTGATGTCGCTGTTTACGCCGGAGTCACCTGGCCACCCCTATGTCCATCCCTATGTCCATCCCTATGTCCATCCTCAGGGAGCGCTGACCTTTAACCCCCCTGCATGGGCTGTGTAGGTGTGGGAAGTAAAGAGGTTAATCGGTTCAAATTGGAAAAAATGAAAGGGTAACGCTGCTCAGCTAAATCCAGATCCAGATCAGAATCATTCTTAGGAAAGGGCAGGAATCTAGCCTGCTGTGTCAAAGGTAGCACTGACACATGGGTAAACAAACAAATATTTACAGTCCAAACTGAGGGGCCACAAGGACAATGTGGCCTAACTTGCAGAGTGTTTGTAGTTGGAAAACAGTGAGATATATGCTGTTGCAAAAAATGTGTAGGCAATTCTTGTCATTTAAGCAACTATGGTGATTTGATGGTTCTTCGGAAGTGCATGGAATGGTGTAAAGACATGTCTCGTCATTGTTCTGCTATTTGTCGTCACTTTAAAGATATTCCATCTGCATTGCAGCCTCTAGCCTTTAAAGCAGCACTTAAGATGGTTGTGAATCTTTAAGCTATCTGTCCCTGACTCACTCTGAAGTCATTTTTTGTCTTCTATGCACATTCCCAGATCTGAACCTGCCTTAGAGGTTCTGAACTTCATGACTTTGGTTTCCAGCCCCGGACTGCACAGTTGTCCTTGCAATCACTTTATATTTTTATGGAACGTGAGGTGGAATTGATTTGTATGAGTGCACACGTGCAGGGCTTACATAGAGATTAGTTTGAATGTCAGCGGAGTTACTAAATTCCACAATAACAAGAGGAACAAAAGAGCAAAAAGAGTGTTACTTTGAGGTAATTAAATCTTGAGCAAACATCCCTCTAATGCAGTTTAGATAGAAAATACATACAGTTTAGTGTCAGAATGATAATTCATTAATTTTTTTTATCAGATTGGATACATTTTCTGGATAAAACACCAGGTCTTTAATGAACATAATTTGTGTTTTGCATTCATGGATTTTCTTCTGAGTGGAAATTCATCTACTACCTGTCACAGGGGTTGGGAAAATGGGGGTGGTTTCATGAATTGGCTGACTGGTTTGGCTTGTTTCCCGTATTTCCGTTGTCTCTACATGATCCTTTTTAGCTGTGCCAGGAGATGCTTTCCAATTGATAAGACTCGGTGAAAGACATCACAAAGTTTTCTGTTGTTTAATCTTCACACTTTTAATTGTAATTAAGTTTAAATTGTACCTCAATTAAGTCCTAATAAACATGTTTAACCTTTTTAGCATTATAAAACTGCTTTTTTTCATATTCTGATTGATATTATTATTACAATTATAATTAAGAGAGATATTGGCAAAGTGCATGTGTAAGCTGATTTTCTTTTAAACAGTGGAAAAGGATGTGTAATGCACTCCTTCTGTTCTAATTTATGCATTTATGGAGTCAAATTTGTACTGGGACTTGCCAATAGTAAATAAGACTACAAAGATCCAAGGGCACATTTGACTCAGATTTGTTTTAGACACTTTTGTTTATGCATTTAGCACTTTTGTATCGTTTCTTTTTCAGCACATGCCTCTGTTTTAATTGCTATTGCAGTGTTAATCATGTAAATTGACCAGACTACAAGTGTTCATGTGAAGGCCTATGTTGTGATGCATAAAAAACATTTAAACATGAGGTTTTAGGTGTCCATCAGTTCACCTTCTCTTTTTGCTTTGGGCACCATCAGTACCATCACTACTGTGAAAGATATCTCAATGACGTGAGTTATCATTTCCAACAAAAACATTTCAGATCAAATCTGAAGTTTA